AGTGCAATGTCTAAGCACCAATATTCCCAGTATGACCCAGTATGAGGATTCAAGGGCTGAATCATTTTGCCATCACAAAGTTTGCCCAAACTTAATAGAGGTGACACAGAGTGAAAGGCAGTGTTCCACTAAGAAACGTAGAAAAATGTTTATACGTTTCAGATTTTAATTAAGTCCCGACAATAAAAACAAGTGACTCGCTAGGGCTGTCTACAAAAAACCTGATTTCAAATTTAGGTTAAGGGACTGCCTCAGTTTTTTCACCACATATCATCAATATTTCAGCTTCAAAGCAACTTGCTGGAATGTAGCAACAACACAAGATTGCGAGCATGAAGTGCTGAGGAGGCGGTAAGAAGATGGTTCAGCTTAACAGTAGCAGAACATATCTCAGGGCACTTAGCTTGAAATTTTCTCATGTCAGTGCCCCGGAGACTAAGGAGTTCTTAAGGATATAGTGCCACTCCAAATCTCACTTTTTGCAAAGGCAGCGGCAAAATGTTTAGTATCTTTGGAGTGTATATCGCTTCCATTCAAATTCTTCAAGACTGAGTTCTGGCCACCAATGTTTGCATTATATAGCTGCAAAATAGAAAGTTACACACAGATTATAGTTACAAAAGTAACTGTAAACTACGCTGCTCAGATCCAGATTTGAATTACTTTTGAAGTAAAACAGAAGTAATAACATTAAATAATAAATTTATTTAATAGCAATGCTAAATAAAGACATGTAAAGAAATGCAATGACAAGGCAAAGCTGTGGAATTATTTCACTATCAAGCAATACTTTGAGCAGACGTTAAGATTACAAAGACAAATTTTGTATTTCCAACATAGTAAACACAGAGTGACACTTACTCCATCCCTCTTTTTCCCCACAGTAAGCTGTATCTAACAAGCTGTGGGTATTACTGTCTTTCAGGTTTCAACACAGCCAGTTCCACAGGAGCCCAGCAGAAAAGATTATGAACCATATCAGCCGTTTCAGAATTCAACAAGAAACTATGATGAGTCCTTCTTTGAGGACCAAGTGCATCATCGTCCACCTGCAAGCGAATACAACATGCACCTGGGACTAAAGTCAACTGGCAACTACGTCGACTTCTATTCAGCTGCTCGTCCCTATAGTGAACTTAACTATGAAACAAGCCACTATCCAGCCTCTCCCGACTCCTGGGTTTGAAACTTGGGCAGATACAAAAGCTCCCGGAACTGTGCATGTGCATGCATACCACAAGACTTTTTTTTTCCTGCAAATTTAGTTTGTTAAAGCCTGTTCCATAGGAAGGCCCAGCTAACCAGTATGGAAAAAAATTAAGAGATTTTTTTAGAAGGCTAAAAGATATGAAAGCTAAACTTGGGAGTAATTAGGAAGAAATATATATATACATATATATATTTTACAGTGTGGGGCAACTTTACTGTTGGCCTGTAGAGTCTAAAGTTCAGTGCTGTATATTGAATGTGGCTGAAGGAGAGAGGGAGAACACGACAGTGGATGTGGGTCAAGAGTTAAGCACAAGTAACTGAGCAGCGTACGTACTTTATGGGGAACAGCTTCTCACACTTTGTTTAATATCCTCATTCATTGTGAATCTAGGCTTCAAGTTGCATTTGGGGTTTCCTCTGTACAGCAAGATGTTTCTTGCCTTTTGTTAATGCATTGTTGTAAAGTATTTGATGTACATTACAGATAAAAAAAAAAAACAAGTGCATTGTGTATATTACACCAATGCCACAGTGTTTCTTCATCTATGGTTCTAAATATTGCTTCAATTTCAAATTTTGAAAGATGTATGAATTTCCAGTTTTTTGTTTTCTTTTCCCCGGTGCGTTTTAACAAAAAAAAAATCAAAAAAAATCAAAAAAAAACCAAAAAGGAATATTTAGCAGTATTGTTCGTTCTGATATGTGAATTTGTTTGTGGCAACTAAAAAAAAAAGGCATTCAGCAGTTTCTGACAATTAACATTCATCATTCCACACTCCTTGTCAACGAAGTGCTTTTTCACTGCCTAAAATTTTAGATGTAGATATTTGAAATAGATTTTTTTCATTTATACCAGTTTTCTTTATGATGATACAGTGTTAAAAGAAAATAAATTACAATTGATCTGTCATCCATATTTGCTAAGAATGTCTATTTCCAAGAACCTACCATACAAATACACATTCTTACTTGTGTGCGTCCACGTATGCATAGTATTCTGTGCGTGTGTGTGTGTGTATGTGTTTGAGCGTGTGCGTTTGTGTGGTGTAAGACTTCTTTTCATCCAATGTTTTCCTTGTTCAAGCTTCAATTTTTGTTTGATTTTTCACTTTCTTTTAAACAGTGGAAACTCCAGTATGTGCTTTCTCTTGCTCACTTTCTTAACCATTGATAGCAATTCAAAATTTTTAAGCCACATACTCAGAAAGGAAGGGGTTATTGGATTTTTTTTCACTGACTCCTTCACCCCTTAGGTGCCATTTCCTTTGAAATAGCATCTCTTGATCTACTCTTGAGGAAATTTCATTACCCTCCAGCTACCAAGCAGCAAGTGCTCAAGGAAGGCAGAAGCTGATCTTGCCATCTCCCTGAGGGAATGGAAAAATAAGACCCAACGGAGTCTCTAGACTCATTGGGCTACAGAAGAGTCCAACTCCTGAACCATTACGACAATCATTTATTTTAACCCATACCAAAAAGAAAGCCCAATACACAAAACATATTCTTCAGATAGGAAAGATACCGACCATTCCTGTGCATTTAAAGTAAAACCCTGAAAAATAAAAATGTAAGGGACAGTGGGTTTTGGTTTTGGTTTGGTTTGGTTTTAAATTTAAAAAATACAGAAAAGGAAACTAGGCTAGGGGTCCAGAAGAGCTGGCATATTCATCTTAGCTCTTGGGATTCCAGAAATAAAATAAAGAATCTAGCATTCCTTCATATCTTTGATTCAAGCAACAGTTCACAGTTTTCGCAGCGTAAGACCCACCACAAATGGAGTAGTTGTAAGTAAGTTGCTCAAATTACAATTAAGGAAGTTGTTTTAGGTTGCAAACATTTCTGTGATTAGTCATTGTAACAGTCTTACCATCACCTGGCACACTTCTGGCTGTGCGCAGGTGGAGAAGTCTCTCGCAATTCATCGCCTGCTCTGTAGGCCGCAGCCCGAGTAGTTCATGCGGGCGGGTATTGTGATGTAGAATTGGTTTATCGGTAATCTAGGACTATAGTTTAATCTTTTTTGGCAGCTTTTCCCAGTGTACGATATGTAACCTTATCTGCTCTTTGTAGTAAACGGGGAAAAAAATCGCATGCAAAAAAATTTTTAAAAAATTTAAGAAAGGGTGGGTGGGAGGGGCACACTGGGCCAGATGTATAGTGAGGTAGAGAAAAATACTATTCATAGTTTTGGACACAGGTTGTTTATATTTTATTTATTACATTGATTTTAATAAGATAAGTGACATTTGCAGTGCTATTTTGAGCAAAGCACATTTTCAGTATAAGAACTTTTTTTTAATAAAGAATGTCACTCGCAACTTGAAGTTCTTCTTGACTGCCTGACAACCACCAGGCTGGCGCAGTTCTCCAGGCGCAGGATTGCCGACAGGCCAAAGGGATCCGTCTTTCTGTTTGAAGTTCTTAGGACAGGATGTTATTGTAAGTTGGATTTATTTCCATTCTTCAAACTACCGAAATGCCCACATTGCCCCCTTTTAGCTCCTCTTAGGAATTACTTGGAGTCAAATGTTGACCATTGCTCAAGTGAGAGATTCGGGATGGATGAAGTGGCATAAAATACCTTTTGTCTAGAGTTTGTGTTGTTTTGTTTCCATTCTGTAGTGGCAAGTGCTCCGACCGATAACGTTCACTCTTGCTGTACTGAGTTTTGAGAAGGTGTTGAATTACCTGGCTTCTTTTCCAAGCTTGGCAATCCAACACTGCTGCCATACTGAGCAAGATATATATGATGCATTCTTTTTAATACTGAGGAAAGTATCATTACCTATTGCTTCCTATTTCCTTCATTCTTGTACTAGGTCACACACAGAAATAGAGAAGAAACAAAACTGTTCCAAAAAATTGTATAAAATGCAATTGATGTACTGTAAAATGTCAGATTTCTTTTCTTTTTTTTATTTTTTTAAACAAGCTTCGTATTGGAATCTTGTTCAGCTGTGTAGAGCTCTATAAATCTCGCTGTTTTATTAAATGCTGTTTATGGTCTGGAAGGAATGGTTAACCTATCTCAAGATTAACAAATTTGCACTAACATGAGCAATACTGATTTGAAAAAAAAATATTAATTCAATATTTAAAAGATAAACTATGATTTTAAAGGTATATTAACTCTGAAAGTACATCTTGACAAATAACATATTTAAGCCCAAAATATAAATGGTTGTGTCAGATAACACAAAAGAACTATAACAATATAGATTGAGAAAAAGATGTGTTTCATTGTACATGTTGCTAACATGTACGAAGACAAACTCATATTGACATATTTTCTATTAATAAATCCTACTGTATTGTGGAGAATCGCTGGTCATAGTGCAATATGTTGAAACTCAGAAGTGACTCCATAGACTGACGCCTATCTTCGCACCGCCAACAAACCCCTGCCATTTATTTATTTGAAATATGAGGTCGGTTAGCTAACTTTCTGCTCTCAAATCGTTCGCTCCCCACTCCCTCTCCAGCAAGTTTTATGAGCACAACCTACTCTACAACTGCCAGTGAAGGGGAAAGGTATTTTGCAAAGACGGCCCTCTTCCCTCCAAATTACGACTGCAAGAACTCAGCTGCCACTGCTTATAGAGAGATAGATTATCTACATCTGTAGAAAAAAACTAAAAAGCTGGTGCCACTGGATAGGAACATGCTGTAAAAAGTATGATCTTGGCCCCAATATTATATAGGCAGCAGCCAAGAAACAGAGAGCAAGCCAGTAATTTGATCATGCGTTGCTGGGAGCCCTGGTGTGCAGTGCATGTATGGGCTGGGGGTCACTGTTGGCTGGGACTGGGTTGCGTTGACCTGCAGAAGCATCTTGCCGGGGAGACGTGCAACTCAAATCAGAAATGCTGACTTATTTTCTTCATACCTTGGCACAGCACAGACTGTGCAAGCCAGTGCACTCAACTCCTCCGCCCCTGTTACTCATCCTCTCCTGCCAGCAGGCAGAAAGAGCTCCAAGTTTGGTGGTTTTGCTTGTATCTTGGGGAGTGGTGCGAGGAGTGGGAGGGATGGAGACAGCAATGCAAAAGCGGAGGGGAAAACAAACAAGGGGCCTAAAAATACAGGAACTCAAAGCTTGTGCGTGAGAAGAGATACACACCCATAATTACTCACAGTGGAATGGGCCCAGCATATTTTATGGAGAGATCATCAAATATTGCTAACAAGCTCGTGTACTGAGCAAGTAATAGCTGCAACACGATGCATGCAAAGCTTTATGCTAGAAAAGTGGGAGGGAGCAGCAGAGGGGAATTACAGGTCATCGCTGGGCAGTCCGGCTTCAACCAGCAGATGCTGAGCAGGAAAGCAGCGACTGCTGACTGCTGTGAGGGAGAAAGGAGGCTGGCAAGACTCGTGATCAAAGACTTTTCAGTCAAAAAAGACTGTAGGCAGCTAAAACACAGGCAACTTTTGCAAACCTCCCCCCCTTGCCCCACCATTGTCAACAGCAGAGTGTGGTACCCCAAGCAGGTACATGGACACAGTGCGCACAGGACAATCCCACCAAGGATCCAGCTTCCAAAGGCCCTTTACTGCCAGCTGGGCAATACCCAGTATGGGTGCGAGGTAATGCTGCTGGTGCTGGGGCATCCCTGCCTTCCTGGTTGTTCTAGAAAACGAGTGAGAAAAGCAGTGCCTGTCACATCCATTGATACACCTGGGTTAGAAGCACTTGCTCCTAACTCTTACTCCACTCTCCTGACAGCCAACCCAAACTACTCTATCTAACACAAGCACTTCAAGTTCTTTCTCCCCAGTGCCCTCCCCGTGTTTTGCACCATTTTGACCAGGCCACATCACTCATAAGATCAGCCCACCACAATCCTCTGCAAAGTCCAGCAAAGCACATACATGAACGCTGGTGCTAGCCAGTCACAGCACTCTAGCAAGACACCATGTCAATGCATTATTCTTGAACCTAATTCCCAATTGAACTCACTCTCATTTTTAATGCAATTTTAAAAGCAGTTTCTTTCCTCTGTCAGCATTGGTATTGCTTTGCCAGAAGAAAGCACATGCTACACTCTTGCAAAGTGTAAACCTTTAGCAAAGTGTAAACCTTTAGCTTACATCTAATTTTAAAAGCCCACAGAAGTCCCTGGAAAGACTTTGATCAACATCATCAAGCCGTGGATCAAGCCCAAAATGAAAATATGTGAAGAACTGGTGCAACCTTCCCAAAGGATGAGGGGCACCACAGCTGCCTTGGCCAGCACTCCAAAGGCTGCACCTTCTAATAGCTAAAAGGAGAAAAAAAGCAAGTTATTTTCTAGTACCTGTCTGTCAAAATTTGCTATAGAGCCTTCCACACTCTGTAATTTTATTTTCACTGCTTTGAGCGACTTAGATAAAAAGTACTTGCAGTGACTGATTGTTGCAGTTAATTTCGGTAGCCAGATGAGTAGTTTCAGACACTGAAATGCCCTTTTTTCAGACAGGCAAAATACAAAGCCTACCATTAAATATAGGAAAGCAAAGTAGCAGTGGTTTGCCAATTCCCTATTTTTCACAAATATACAAATTCATATAAGGCTTTTCATTTATACATAGCCCAGCAGCTATGGGGGTTGCTTTTTACATTATTTACCTGTTTTACATGAATGTTATATAGGCAGAAAATATTGCTGACTAAACACATAAAGACAATCACTAACACATCAAGGCTGAAGAGAATTCAGGCTGTTGTGTACAGACCTAATTATTATCTTTCTTTGACATCAACTAATAGAAGGGGAGAAAAAAAAATAGCATCTATTGTGTGAAGCCTAACATCTTCCAGAGCAAATATAAGTAAGTCCCTTTAAAAAAAACAACTTTTCCCTCAAAAGAATAAAAACTAAAACCTTTTCCTCTAAGCCATCCTGGGTTTGATTTTTTATTGGGGTGGCA